CACTTATCAGCAAGTTGTTATAAATGGTTTTGGTGTCTTATCTTGCAGCAGATCGCAGCAGAGATGACGGTTCTAATAGGGCCGAAAACTCGGCACAAAGCCTCAAGATCTTTCTTTTCGTTGAACATGCTCGGCTCAAATTCTCCTCAAGTGGATCTTCTGCGCTGTTACCCGTTAAGCTTTGTTTAAGAAGTATTTGTGAAAGCTTGCTACTAGAACTGTTAACGCTCTTTACAATAGAAGATTTCCTAAGAAACGGTAACTTGAACTAGGCAACCTTTCGCCCGAGCTGGCTGACGCGGTAATCGAACCCATTTGAAGTTACAGATAGACACAATGCAACCGTTGATTCTCGGATACAGTGGGTCAGAAACTCGCATTTACTTCGTGCACGAATCCAATTTTGAAACGATTCCTTATTTTGCGGTTCACTGTAAAGCTATATGTCAGCTGACCTAAAAAGCTCCAAAAAGAATTTGAATGTTACATCAACCATTTAGGAGAAGAGCCAAACAAGACCAAGAAATATAGTTAACAGAACACACCATTCTTGCACGAAATTGGCAGGATTTTAATGGTTATCTCTTCTGTCCTATAGAAACTAGTAAAATAGCAACTTGAAAGATTTAGACCACTTTGGATTGGCATAATTGCAACGAAGTTTCAAAAGAATTTGTGTATATCTTCAAGGCAAACAAACATTATGGTATTTCCTTAGCACGTACTAAGACGATGGCACATGGAGACGCAGTTACCAGTTATCGGAAACTGATGTTTCAAAAAACGTTCCATAAGGTTGTAAATATGATCTGCAACGCAAGCTATCTTTGCAGTAAAAGGTAAGAACAATAATAAAAATGGAGCATCCTTTAGATGTTCTTTATTAATAACGCAAACACACAGAGAACTAAAAAATAGTTAATAATCACTGATAATATATACTTGAGATGGTTGATTGACACCATGTTATGCAAATATACAACAATGGTATTGTGGCGAGATCAAAATCTAGATTATGGGCAAGGCTCAGAGATTTGTCATTGGCAACAACAAATATCAAACACAATCTCCCTGTCTTGTCTTACGCGACGCCTTAGTTCTGGCAATGTTCCTCACAAGGCAGCGAGTTGTAGGGAGAACAAACGGAAACAATTATCCCTCTTAATGTTGTAGTGAAAGGATACGGAAGCACATTCGAAGAACAAAACGATCCCTAAAAATGGCATTAACTCTCCAGATTTCTTATATTACTAGAACAACGATTATACAATATAATAACTATCTTTACAAACAATAACACATATGTATTAAAGAAAGAACGTCGACTAGAGGAGGATGACACTAGGTGAACTACTTCGATTAGTAAAGAAAATCCTGAATGCTGCTTTAATTACAATGCAAAATAATGTACAAAATGCACTAAGCGGTGATGAGGTGCAGGATGTTAGAGCTAGAACGAATTACTAGAATTGATACTGTGCACGTGCATTAGTGATTGAGGAACTACTACACCGACACTGAGTCTAGATGAGCGCGGATCCCTTTCAGCTGATCAACAGCGTCTTCTCGGAAACGTGTCACGTTATTGTTCATTCCAGTTGTCAGCTGCACTAGAGTGTATATGGAATTTAGAGCTACCTCGAGCTGTTTCTCCAAACGTCCTATGCGAGTGTCCATGCCAGAAAGCATCTGCAAAGGAACGAGTAGGCTTGGGCACCCTAACAAGCAAAAAAACGCCAAACATACAACGGTACCCATTAAGTGTACTTCTACTCATTGAATGCCTAAACAAGTGCCAAAAATATATTGAAGCGGTCATAACCTATCCTCAGGAATGCCGACATATGCTTATAGATCCTTAGCTTTGTGGCTGCATGAAATCCCAAAATTAATTGTCAATTCGGAGATTGTGGTACGAACTGCATTAATAGCGTCACAACACCAGTGAAAGATTGCGAGCCTGATTATATAATTCCTGTATATACATCGTTCCTCTTCTGTTATCAGAGAAGCTGTTTTTAAAAACCGTTATGGGCGGACCTCTATGCTCAAAAATCAAATAATTGGAGAAACGTGACTGATACTAGACGAAGAGTTCGAGTATTGAACATAAAGAATGTCTGTAGTTTTATTACTGGAGGATTCCGATTTTGAATACATCTCAATCTAAAAACAAAAATTTTTTTTAA